AAAATGAGAAATGGCCATGAAGAAGTGATGACTATTATTGTTAGGTATTTTTTATTAGCCAGCAAAATTTTAGAAGATTCGGGGCCGGTCTCCTGAATTCATGCAGATGGTGTGGACTATAGCACACGAACATCTAGGAATCGTCATAAACTTCTGTTTTATAGCCCTAAAATGTCAAAAATGAAGTACAATCATGGTGAAGCAATGATTATTGTTTGTCAGGTCGTTTTTGATGGACCAGTAAATTTTATAAGATTCGGGGTCGGTCGTCCAAATTCATGTAGCTGGGGTGGACTATAGCGCAAGAAAATCTTAGAATCGTCTTGAACTCTTATTTTATGGCCCTAAAATGCCAAAAAATAAGGAACATTCATGGAGAATCAATGACATTGTTCATTAGGTCATTTTTACGGGCCCGCAAAATTTGAAGATATTCGACCTGAATTCATGTACGTAAGGCATGAACTGTATTACACGAAAAATATGGAAATCGTCTTTAATTTTTGTTTTATTACCCTAAAACGCCCAAAAAAAAAAAAGATGAACGGTCATGGCGAAGCGATAACTATTGTTCATTAGGACATTATTATGGGCCCGCAAATTTTTTAGAGATTCGGGCCTGGTCGTCCAAATTCATGCAAATTGCATGGACTGTAGCACAAGAAAATCTGTGAATCGTCCTTAATTCATGTTTTATGGTCCTAAAATGCTAAACAATAAAGAACAGTCATGGCGAAGCGTTGGCTATCGTTCATTAGATCGTTTTTTATAGGCCAACAAAATTTTAGAAGATTCGGGGACGGTCGCCCGAATTCATGCAGATTGCGTGGACTATAACACACGAAAATCTGGGGATCGTCTTGAATTCCTGTTTTGTGGCATGAAATACCAAAAAAAGAGAAACTATCATTGCGAATCGATGACTATTATTCATTAGGTCGGTCATGCAAGTATAGACATATCATTAAGACTTTAGTACAAATTGTGGCGTATCTTTAGAATAAACTATTCACAAATCCGGGCGAATCACCAAATTTGCATAAAAATTGAGCCAGCGAGAGTAACAAAAGTCATAAGAAATTAAAGATCCTAAACAAGAAGGAACAAATTTTATTGTCAAGAACCAACAAGTAATGCAATTTTGTAACCATTCATTTCAACAAGCTCAATTAATAAAACATCATCCTTTATAACAATACTCCTTAAAACATAATTATCTTTATAAGCCAATAAGGCTAATCCATAGTAACAAACTCCTACGGCCTTAGGTCAGGACTTTGCGGCTAACGCCAATGTTTTCTTGATCAGCAGAGCATGTTGGTGAAACACAACAATTGCATGTGTTATCAATACATTCTCGAATTCCAATTCTGCATATCCTATGGCAATCTGATGCAAGAACACACTGCTCTCCCATCACAACATCTGAAGATTTAAAAATATATTAGAAAAAACAAACAAATATCCTAATGCAAGTATTTATGGGTGTTTTTATATCAACATGTAACAAGTGAGACGTGTTCTAATTAAGAATGTGAAATTTCTTATTAGAAGTAATTCGCGAGATCATGTGGGTGGTCCAGCCTATTCTTGAAATAGACAACTCGCACACACTCCCTTTCCAAAAAAAATCAATACACCAAGCACTACACCTAGATTTATTGGATTTGTTGCTAAAATATCGGTGTTAAACCCGAAACTCCCCGGCAGATGGGCAGCGGCCCAAAGAAACGAAAAAGTCTGATTACGTTTTTCATATGATCTCATCTTATAGATAGACTAAAAAATCGAACAGAGTTCTTTTTGTAGCACTTCGCCCCTCCTTTTATTTATTCTTTTATTTTTTTCTCAAATTGAGTGAAAAAATAAAAAATATTCGAGTTAGTTATAAATTATGAACTAATGAACTAGCCCTTTTATTGGTTATTGGAACACTAACACTTACTAAAAAGAGTTTCCCTTGATCTATGAACGGGTAGAAAGAAAGCGAGTCAGTATGTTAATTTCTCATCCGCAAATCAGCCGTTCTTGTATGATTGAGGTGGACCTAGAGTTAGTACGTACAAAGGGAATTATCGATGAAATTTACCAATTATCAAAATACCCTAATGCAAGTATTAGTGGGTGCTTACGGCTCAAACACGTGACGAACAGGTTAAGCAGAAACAATTTTACCGTTGCTCTAAATTTCTACTTCGTGTTTTATGAGTTAGATTCTATCAAATTACAACTTTATTAAACTTTTTTCGAATATTGTGAGTAACTGTGTTAACAGAGAGAGAGACTAACCATTTGAAAAGACCAATGAGGTGACTAGGAAGAACATAATCATCGAAACCTTATTCATGTTGAGTAAAGTTATGTATTCTTTTTTTACTTTTGAGTGCTTCGACTCTAATAATATATATAATACCTAGTTCATTGATAACTTACAAATCCTGCTGGTGAACAGCCTCTATTTGCAATTATGAACTTTGATTACGATCTTGAATTTTGAATAGCGGGACAAAGAAAATCTTTTGTTTATGGAAGGTTAATGAATGAAAAATGTCTAGTCTATATAATTAACCTACCTTATATTGAGATATATATGTACTGGATCTTCTTATGAATCTCCCATAATGCAGTTCGTATTTATCGAGATTCGCTATATTCACTATTGCACATTTATGTATTTTGGGGGAAAAATCAGTCGATAGGCGCAAGCAAGCCTAGGGACTTGTTTACACTTTACACCAAATCGATATATGAAAGGCACGTGTATTGCATATATTTTCTTAATTAGTTTGTAATGCAGGCAGATGCAGATTTAGCCTTTCCGTGCAGTACTCATATGAACTCGGTACTTTTGGCGCGCTACATAATTTCATATGTAAAAACTAAAAATTACAATAAATAGTATATATGAACCCATAATCTTAATGATATAACAGGTCCAAGACTAAGAACCTTAAATGTTGAACCTATAGAACTTAAATTTTAAATCCGCCTCTAAATGCGAGTAAGTATTTTCCTTTTTTGTCCTACTTTTTGTATGTGAATTTTATGGGGATTTGCATCTATACTCGCTTTTTGGGTCACATTTTAACTTATACCCGCTTTGCAAAAAAAAATTGCAAGCATACCCACTTTTCACGTTAACTTCAGGTATACGGGCCTGAAGTAGCAAAGGCAATCACGAAAACTTCAGCATTCTAGTAGACGGGCCTGAAGTTGTTCGTAATTGCTGAACTTAAGCAATCTACTAGCTGAAGTTTTGTTCTCTATTTGCTGAACTTCAACATGTTTTAGCTGAAGTTTTGTCCTGGATTCAATAGTTTTGTCATAAAACTTTTTCAAAAACTTCAGCAGAAGATGCTGAAGTTTTGTCCTGGATTCATTAGTTTTGTCATAAAAGCTTTTTCAAAAACTTCAGCAGAAGATGCTGAAGTTATTTAGTTCATTTGTAAAAACTTCAGCACTAAAATAAGCTGAAGTTTTTGTCCTACAGTCGTACTAGCTGAAGTTTTGTTCTCTATTTGCTGAACTTCAGCATGTTTTAGCTGAAGTTTTTCGCGTAAACTTAGTGTTGGCTGAAGTTTTTGTTTGTAATTGCTGAACTTAAGCATTCTACTAGCTGAAGTTTTGTTCTCTATTTGTTGAACTTCAGCATGTTTTAGCTGAAGTTTTGTTCTATATTTGCTGAACTTCAGCTGATTTATGGACTATATTTAAAGTCACAAACTCGTTATAGGTCTACTGCCTCAAAGAAGCTTTCCCTAAACCTGATGTGATCTTATTAAGTTTGTAGCAGTAGCTTGAAAAAATTTCATAAATTGCACCATTTATGTTCATCAAGTAACACTGCAGTTTACATTGCTATGTAAACTCAGGCCAGCAATATTCGAGTCATGGGATGGGATCCATTGGCTTTAGGCACATTTTGCTGAAAATTGCAATCTCAACATCAAAATCAGGAGGTCCAATGCTATATCATTCGTATACAGTAGACGATGAAGATCTCTTCCTTCACATATCTGTTTTGCCCTCATCGTACATAAAGAAAAGCAAGATTTCCTATTTTCCTTTATGTATATGTTCCTTATACATAATTCCAAGCTACAGTTTTCCAATGAAAAGAAAGGAGGAAGAGAGGAGCGCACAGGTAGCAGAAAGAAGGGGGAGCCTGAAGTTGTAAAAATTAGAGTATAGGTTAAATAATTTTAAAAATATGAGTATAGGTTAAATGGGGGCAACCAAATAGGGCGCCCCGTGCAATTTTTACCACATTATTCATCTACTCTATAGGAGTTCATGCATTTTTGTTAACTTTTTTGAAATATAGATATAATATTAATATTCTAGCTTTCTAGGGAAAAATGCAATATTTACGACCTCCTCTCAAAGGAGTTAATTTCTCAATAGAGAAAATCATGCGCCTTTGTAAATGCATGTCCCATTTATTAGCTTTTTGAGACTTCAAAAGCTAACGTTTGTTTACAATTGAATTTCGAAGGGAACAAAACCCATCAACTAGCTCAAAATTAAAGTCTACCACTTACCTTTAGCAGACACACAAATGTTTAGTCCACTTGGCATACTAATGATAATTAGTTGTCTTTTGTTTTAAGATGACATATGACAAAACGTATTTCTCCCTTTATTTGAAAAACACATTAAGTAATTTCTCACTTGATGTCAAGTTTGGCGATGAATGTTGTTTATATTGCTCCATTTAAGCTCCTCTCAAACCAGTATTACAAAAACACTGTTTCTCTAATATTAACATTACTAAAACTTAATCGCAACTAACGTCGCATATATATATGTGTGTGTGTGAGAGAGAGATGTCGAATCTCCTTGATATGAAAAAAAAAATCAATTATTGTAGTGAAGGGGGGTCAAAAGTTGCTTTAGGTCATAGGTTTAAATCCAAACGGCAACATCCTAGAAATTTAGAAATTTTTTGGATCCCTTTATATAAATTTCTGGTTCCGCTACTGTTCGGACCTGTTCTGAGATAAAAGAAATAAAGGATCCAGTTCTATTATACTTTATCTTTGTCCAATGGTTAAAGATCTGGTCATTAACCAGATCATTTCTTGACATCTTAACATTTCCTAAAAAATTTCATAATTTCTTGTATGCTAATTGCTAAGTATGCCCTTCTGAACAGGGAAAAAGGAAAGCAACAGCTGAAAGTCAATGTATTACACACTCTAAACTGTACAATTGAATACTTCAAGATGTACCACGATTCTTCGACTTGGCTGAATGCTCTTAAAGTTAATTCTCCGAATAATCACCAGCATCTCGAAGAAGACCCAGCATCTCACCTTGTAAAGGTAATATTGAGCTCCAGAAAACCTAAATAATCAGTCATCGAGCTTTTCATCCAAGATTTACAAGGATGTCCGACGACTTTCTGCAAGAAAAATGACAGGCTGCTACAAGTCTGAGATAAAAGGAAACACAGGATGAGAAACACTATAAGAACTTAGAACATGTGAATAAATTGAGAATAGAAGTTGACGCCCACAGTTAGAATTAAAGAGGAGCACCCAAACTGCTCCGCACTGTCCTTTGGTTTCTTTTTATACTAAACAAAAGTTTTGGTCGATCTTGCCTCCTTCAAACATTTGGTGGATGGAGTATTGTGGTCCATCACTCCATATTTTCTCTTTCGTCCAAGTGCATCCAAACGTTCAATACCAATAGATGATACATAGTCTCGCACATTCAAAGTATTAGTAGGATACACAAACTAATTTAAGAGACAGTGACTAGATAGACGTGTGGTTCTTACAGATATAATGATGCTGTTATTAAATAGCCACATTTTCAGTTCCAGGTTAGAAGCAGTATGAATATAGTTAGACTATTTCTTGTCAATTTTTATAAATGTTAACTTTTTCCCTCGGATTAAAGCAAAGCCCACATGTAACAGGGCAGAACTACCACAACTTTGTGACTAGCAATGTTTACTTGACCTGAAAGTGCAAAGAATTATGGTTTAATGACAATCTAACAAAGGCATATAAAAGGGCTCAACTGGTGTAAGCAAAGGGAGGACAGCTAACCTGAAATAAAACTACAGGTTGCTTCAACATCCACTAACGGAAAAGCCTTGGCACTGATTTTTTTGGAATCTTGCCTTCAAGTTTTAGCCTTCTATATGCTTCTCTAACGTGACACGGCCTGATTGGCCCTGTATCTTTTCTCTCTGCCATCACCATTCTAGCTGCAAAATGAATTATAAAATGACTGAGTATCAAATTGATTACTTGGGGAAAAATTAATGCAGCATATGCCCTTCAACTTTTCTTCACCGAGGACATTTCCACCTTAAAACACTAAAGATTGTCACCAGCAGCCCTTCAGTTAACTAAAGTCTCACATAGTAAAAGCACTATTCAGGAATTAGCAACTTTTCACTGCATAATTACAGTGGAAATTGGTTAAGCACAGTTCACTGAGCTTTACGAAAGACATTCTGTCCATCAATCTTTTGAAGAAGGGAGAGGACAAGCAGGGCAAAGAGTGAGATTGAGCTTTTGTAGGTAGAAGGTAGCAGAGAACACTAACAAAGGGGTGGCAATGCTGGGTCAACAGGCATGCAGAAAAGTCATTTTATTTATCCTGCCTTAAAGCCCTTCTCATTTGCTGATTGCAGGTGTTTCCAGATCTATCGGGGCTTTTCTAGAAAAAAATAAAACCATATATGTAATGCAAGGAAAAATTAAGAATTTCATTCATAACGATTTCCTTAACAATTAATATATCTTTTTGCCAATTATATTTATTATTTTGCACCGCTTTATTCAAGATAGAATTTATTGGCAATCAGGCGCACTCCTTAGTGACTTGCCTACACTGAAGCGCGGCCTAAGTGAGACAAAGTGCATCCCCTGAGCTATTTTGAGCTTCAGGGCTTAAGCGCGCCTCGAATGAGCCTTTGACAACAGTGGTTTAATTAGCACAGGACACTTCCATGCAATGTGTGAGTCCCTAAGACATTTTATGCCACTCTTTAGTACTTTGTACGGGTAAGTTTCCAAAATAAATTTTAACCACTAACACGCTTAGTCATGGACAGTATATGACAATATGGGCTCTAAGACTTTGAATCATGATTGTCGCAAATTGATCAGACACCAATGACAGAGTTTGGCCAAATATTTGAAGCTGTGCACTAGGCTCAAAGAAAAGAAACTAAATAAAGTTTAGGGGAGAAAGTAAATCATGCAAGAAACAACACCCCTTGTTGTTTCCAAATCATGGAGAAACATTTTGCTTCAGTAATCATCTTATAAAAGTTATAGATGTCTATGGACCTGTTTCAATTAGCTCACCAACAAACATTTTCGCTATCCCAGAAACCACAATTGTCATAGGAATAGATATCTTGGCACTTCCGGTGATGCTCGTCAGCAACTGCATTGACAACACAGAAGAAGATTCACGAGAGAGTAATTAAGAACATCAAATTATCCAACTGGAAAAGCAAACATCTCACGCTGAGGCTTCAACAAGTTCCTCATGTTTCCCAATTATATTCACAGAGATTTGGTTTCATTCTCAATTTTCTGATATCACGTCTGTAATGAAAGACGAAACACTTTGCTTCAATGGGCTAAATGTTAGGGATTGGTCAAATATCTGGTAATGAGGCCATCTCAACTCAAACAAATGATACCAAATCATGCTAGGAAAAGAATAAGATAAGACAAGTAAGCATCTCAATGGGCCACAAGACCATAGAAAACAAAGATATTCTCTCCAACATATATCTTTAACAATTTGTCATGTTCTGACATTATATTCTTACGGAAAGACAACACTTAAAGCTCAAATGGGCTAAATGTTAGGGGAAAATATCAGATAAAAGGCCCTCTGAACTCACACAACTCAGACGCAAACTAGCATGAGACTGCATGTGAGACAATTTTCAAATTAAAGTCTTCTCATAGAGAGTTGGAGACGGGGGAGAAAATTACTATATTAGGAACTATGCAAGTCGAAGAGATGAAATATTTTGCGAGTATCAGAGATGAATATAAAGAAAATGGAAGTGGTTTATTGGTTATGAGGGCTCCGTGGAAGGACTGGGCAATACTGATTATGAAGTCACATTAGATAGAAAAATTAAGTTCTGCCCATTTTCTCAGTGTATTCCTTTTTGTCTAACTCCATTCCCCAGCCCAAGCAAACATAAGGCAACACACACATGAATAAGGCCACAAACACACACGCACAAGCTAAGGGAGAGGAGAGAACCACTCTCAAGACATGATCTGTTGTACTTTGTATACAATAATATAGAACATATTCAGGCTTGGAAATTGAGGAAAATAAAAGATGGTAAGGGGGAGAATGGCAAAGCATACCCGCTTCATGTTGGATTTCTGAAATCCAGATCTCCGAAAAGATTCATATCTACTCATTTGCTCCTCCGTAAATTGGGATAATATGGACCTGAAAGAGAAATGATTTAAAAAAATGTGGTCTCCTTTTTTGCTGTCACTGATTTGAAAGGAACGGAAAATAGATAACGAAGTTTGACAACAAAAAGCCACGTACAAGTTTTCCGAAGCCAATATCCACCTCCTTTCTTCGACCTTACCTTATCCAAAAAAATATCTACCTTCTTTCTTGAAGTGTCATAGTGACATTATTATTACCAGGTCGAAAACTGCTGAATATAGAGGAGAGAAAAATTATCGTAATTGGAGCTTACATAACAAGGAGGTTTAGAAGAAAATCTTTAACATAACAGGTATATATATATATATAGCTGCAATGTACTATTCCTATTAGTTACTTTCCCATTTTGCCCTCACTTAACAATGCTCATACAAGTAAGACTTAGAGACTTGCTGGGAGAAAAGTATTCTTTTTGGGTAGTAGGAGGCACCTCATAAAGTTTTACATAGAGCTACTCCTTTTTTTCCTTTTTGGGGATAAATTTTTGCATAGAGCTAGTTTGAAAATGTGAATTTAATATTTAACACCTACTAATATTTTCTATTGGTATTTAACTGTATTATATCAAGCAAGATGCATCTTATAGTCTTATCTGTTCACAGATCTCAATAGAAGCATCAACCTTCTGGATATAGAATTTTGAGAATTTTCATAGAGCAGATATCCTGTGGGTACGCAACATACTGAAGAGAGTTAAATTAATAGTCTGAGTACCAAATAAACAAGGGGAGAAAGACGAGAGGGAAGGAAACAAATGATATGAAAAGGAGTTTTTCTTGTATGCAAAGCGATTATTAGGCAGCTCCAACCAGCCACAGAAGCTATCACGGAACAGGATAATACCATACAATCCTGACAATTCTCTATGACTGAAATCCTTAAAAACATAAAAGAATCAAGAAATTTGATAACATAAATTGACAAACTTACTGCATCTTAGACATTTTGTCAGGATCACTACTTGCTGAGAATTTTCCTAACTGCACATCCATGTTTTCTTCCTCTTCCTCCTCATCTTCCTCTTTGGGCTTGCTAATTGGATCAGCAGTACCAACAGAGACTGATGCAGCTCTAGATGCTGAAGGGTTGTCACGAAAACCGGTATTAGCATCATCACCTCCATGAACATGAACATCAACTGCAGCTTGGTCTTGGCCTTCATTCTCGTCAATGCCAACAGGGGATTCAGGGGGTGAGTCGTCTTGCCCCTCAAAAGCAGCTTCAAAAGGATCCTTAGATCGCTTCATGGAATTCACTGCACCAGAATGTGAGATTCAGGTGAAGTGTACACCACGCTTATCATTCATCCATTTTGATTGAGATAAACCAACTTCCAACCATGAACAGTGGTGTATTATGTTAGAAACCTTTCTTGGGGCAAGCATGGTAAAAAGATAAGAGCTAGTTTGATTTGGACCTCATATGATATAGAGTTCTGCCAAACTCTCAAACCAGGTTGATTGATAAATGAATGGCATTGAACTCTTACAGCTCTGATATTCTCAAGTCACATGATCAATTGCAAGCATGAAAAAAGATTAAAGCATTCAAAAGGAAGGTAAACAAAAGGATGAAGCAACAATGTTAAAGGAACATTGTTCCACTTTGGATTAGAAGCGACACCATCCCTTTATATTTCTAGACGAGGAAAAAAATGAATGAGACTAAAAAATAAAAGCAGGTAGTCAACTAATCATGAAAAAAAAACAAGAAACACTGCACTATAGCAAGCGAGACCAAATAGGTAAAGTAGTTGCACACTTTATTTTCAAGTAGTTGCCCACTTGCCTTGTTAGTTTTTGATAATATAATTGCAGTTGTTTCCCTGAAAGAAAAATTGAAAAATAGAGTAAGATGCAAAACCTAGCACATAGTATAAAGAGATTAGAGAGGAATGATATCATTCTTTACTTTTCTTTCCCTTGATTATTCACACTTTATCTTTTACCCTTTGTAAGCATCTCCTTTTAGTTCTAGAGTGTCTTGAGATATCATCATGGTTCTTTTTTTGATCGGTAAAGAGTTACTTTGTATTCATAAATAAAACCAGCAAAAAGCATAAGATGATACCGGGAATGTTACAAACAAAAGGAAAACATTACAGGTTGTAGAGCCGTCAATATGGGCTTGGCCCACGGGCCAGCCCAGCCCAGCCCGTGATTTAGCAGGGCTGGGCTAGAATTTTTGGAGCCCATTTAAAAATGAGGCTTTTAAGTCCGGCCCGAGTAAGCCCGTGGCCCGTGAGGCTTGATCGAGGCTGGGCCGGGCCGGCCCGTGGGCCTAATAAAAATATGTATTTGAATTATATATAAAATATAAAAATTATACTCCCTCTGTTCCAATTTATGTGAACCTATTTCCTTTTTGGTCCGTTCCAAAAAGAATGAACCCTTTCTAAATATGGTAACAATTTAGCTTAAAGTTACAATTCTACCCTTAATGAGAAGCTTTTATAACCACACAAATACTCTGGGCCCCTTTTTGACTTGTTTAGGACCACAAATTCCAAAAGTCTTCATTTTTTCTTAAACTCCGTGCCCAGTCAAACAGCTTCACATAAATTGGAACGGAGGGAGTACGACACATAAAATATCAAGAAGAGCATCCAAGCTTAAATTTTGTTAAAAGATCAAAGTCTTAAAATGTGAATTAGTTTTAGAAATTTAATTATTCTTAATATTTAACTAATTAATATTGCATACGAATTGTAGATGTAGATGAAAGTGAAGATATTAATACAACCTTCTCACAAGCGGATTCTAATGTGTTTGATGAATATGATGTGTTGGATATCCCGTAAGCATAATGGACGTTCTCTTGAATAGTTTGTTATGAGTTTTGACTTTTAGTGAATGAAATATTAGCTTGTCTTTACTTTTTTAGTGTTTATCATGTATTGGAACAGTATAAAAAGTTATTAAGTTTTGTGAAGTTTTTCCAATAAGATTTTTTTAACTTTTAAATATTTACCTCTTATAGGTTAGAACTTAAAGAAAAATGTAAAATTATATTTTTTAAAAATGATGGGCCGGCCCGTGGGGGCCCGCAGCCCACATAGGGCTGGGTGTGCTGACCATTATATGGCCCATCAAAATGGTAGGCTAGCCCAGCCCAGCCCGTCAATTGCTAAAGCCCACGTGGGCTAGGTTGGGCTAGCCCGGCCCCGCCCATATTGACAGCTCTAACAGGTTGTGTAATCAAGGCATCAGGGACAGAGACATTTACGACAGCCATTTACACCAAACTTAAGCAAAAAGAAAACATTTGTTTTTGATATACACTACCAGTCCACCATACCGCAGGTAGTATAGATATCATCATGATTCTAAAAATAACATTTTATACTATTCACCAAATTTCATCTACTTAATCATATAAATTTAGGCTTTTGGCCGACTTTCGTTGGCGCATATGTTGAAAACTCCATAGGGTATGGCCCCACCGCTTCACCCTCCTCCCAACTTAAGAATAAGAATATGTATATGAGCAACACGGGAATTAACTATTTAAAGACGAAAATTTCCTTTTAAAGTAATTCATGTACAGCCAAACCTCTCTATAACAGCCTCGTTTGTTCCAGATATTTTTTGATGTTATAGCGAATTGTTGTTATAGAAAATATATATTATAACATAACATGAAATTTCGTTCCGGAAAAACTTGGTTTTTATACTGAAGTGTTGTTATATAAAGATGACGTTATAGACAGGTCTGCTTTATAACAATTCCTTCACTAAGCATTACATAACTATCCCTTCATCACTAATCATTGCATAAATAAATAATCATTGCATTATAATCACCGCATAACTAGCAAATGAATCCAACTTGTTTGGGATTGAGACATAATTGTTGTTGTTATATAAGTGAATTACACAACTCCTTAGTTGATTAGAGTAGTTTGGCACCTCCAAATTCCCTGTAAGACATTTGCATACATCATTCAAGAATATTGCAACACAGAATCTTAGCATGTCTGAACAGAGTGTAGATACAAAGAAATCCTCTTGTTCCTTTTTTTTTTCCCGATAACTGACGACCCCCCCCCCCCCCCCGCCTCATCATCCTTCTCTACTTAAAGGACAGGCTTTTGTCTGCAGGAGAGTCAAACTTGTGATGTGCACCTAACCCACACATCACGGCGGAGTAAATCCTATAGGTCACAATTCACAAAGGGAAACAATTGCATCTCATTTCAATCATAAGAGTCCCACTAACAATTCAAGCAGACATATACTAATCAAGAATGTGGTAGAGAAATGCATTCACCATTCAATTAATCCTACTATAATATTACAAGCACACAAACTAATCAAGAATGAGTATAAATCTTCTAAATACAAATAGAAAGGAAAATCAAAACCTTTGAAAGCAAAGGGACCCAAAATATCGTAATTCTGAACCCTCGCAAAGATGATTCGGAAGGGCGCGCCGTGCCGGCGAGTATATCAGATGGGTTCCGCTGTTTTGAAGAAATTGAACGGGCTTTGGGTTCGTGGGTCTGAATTCGGGTCAGCTCATGGGTCGTGGCCTTTAGTTTGGGAAGTGCACAAAATCGCCATTTTAAGATCTCTATTTAAAGTTGGAAAAAAAGTCAGATATATAAATTAAAATAATTTTGATTGGTGAAATTTATAAACTTTTTAAAATTCAACAGTCTCAAAATCAATTGTACACCGCCAAATATGAAGTTTGAATGTAGTTCAATAGATTGTGGTAGAGTTTAACGTTTTAAGTATACACAAAGGTCTAAAGAAGAACAAAAAGTTTGAGTTTTGTCAAAATTAATTAAATTTTAAATACTTTTTAAAATTAATCCCAAACAAGTTGGATTAATTTTAGCTCTAGAGCTGAAGTTCGCCAGTTATAAAAACAAAAACTAAGTTCGCCAGTTACACTTGCTACTTTAGGCCCGTCTACTAGAATGCTAAAGTTTTGCGTGATTGCCTTTGCTATTTCAGCCCCGTATGCTGAAGTTATGCGAAAAAGCGGGCACGCTTGCAATTTTTTTCGCAAAGCGGGCACAAGTTAAAACGTGACACAAAAGGCGGGTGTAGATGCAAATCGCCCGGTTTGAAGCCTTTACCCGGTTTGGCCCAGGTTGTATATAATTTGAAAGAAACTTTTCAGTCTTTAGCCCATTATTAAAGACATACTTCTAGGGGGTTTTTCCTTTCTTCTTTCTTCTTTCCCAGCATACTCAATCTCTCTTCACTCGCCTCTCTCTTCGTTCTCCCTAAAAAATATAGAATTTTTTTGTACACACTCGTGATAATCCTCGCATTCTATATCAATTAGATTTCGATTTTTGAGTTAATTAACAAAAAGAGGTTAAGAAACCATAATAAAATTGTGACGACCCAAAAAGGGGTCGTCACCTGTTTTAATTAATTCTGTGCTTCGGAGGCCTTGAAAACCTCATTTATAGTCGCCACGTTTTGGCATGCGCAGTCGGGGCGCGTAGCCAGAAAGCTTAATTGCGAAATTCTGTGAAATATGCTAAATTTTGGTATTAAAATGAATAAATTTGACTTCGGTCAACATTTTGGGTAAACAGACCCGGACCCGTGATTTGACGGTCCCGGAGGGTCTGAAAAAAAATATGGGACGTGGGCGTATGCCCGGAATCAAATTCCGAGGTCCCAAGCCCGAGAAATGAATTTTTGAGTAAAATTATTTTTCTGAAATTATTAAGGAAAATTAAAATGAAATTGATTAGAACGTGTTGGTATCGGGCCCGTATTTTGGTTCCGGCGCCCGGTACATATCTTATATGTGATTTAAGATGTTTCTGTAAAGTTTGGTTAAAAACGGAGGTCGTTTGACGGGATCCGGACCCTAAATGGGAAATTGATGTTTAATAGGAATTTTGAGAAATCTCATTGATCTCGAGGCTTAATTCGATGTTCATGATGTTATATTGGTGATTTGATCACACGAATATGTTCGTAGGATGTTTTTGAGGTAGTGTGCATACTTGGGTTGGAGTTTCGAGGGCTCGGGTGAGTTTCGAGTAGGTTCCGGGATGCCTTAGACTTAAAAGATCAGATGTTGCAGGTTCAGGAAATATTGCAGGCCTCTGAACCCTCTTGCGCGGTCTGCGAGGAATCGCGTACGGCCGCGGAGGGGCTAGCGCGGCCGCGGTCGCCTTTGAGCGGTCCGCGGTGGATGCTGTGCGGCCGCGGTCGGCTTTGTGCGGTCCGCACGGGGCTATGATCTGCAGGTCTTCAGGGAGGCCTGTGCAGCCGCGGTCCTTTTTGTGCGGTCCGCACAGGGAGTATCAGAGGGGTATAAATACACGGAAATTTTAGTTATTTTTCACTTTTCAAAACCCCAAAACATATGAGGCGATTTTTCAAACAACCTTTCTTCTCCAAAACGATTGGTAAGTGATTTCTAACTCATTTTCTTCACCCCTCAACATCTTCTAACATGATTTCAACTTCAAATCAAAGATTTTCATGGGGAAATTGGGTATTTTGGGTAGAACCTAGGTTTTTCAAAAATTGGGGATTTGGACCTCAATTTGAGGTCCGATTTCAAAATAAATTACATATTTGAGTTCGTGGAGGAATGGGTAGTCGGGTTTTCGTTCGAACCTCGGGTTTTGACCACGTGAGCCCGGGGGCATTTTTGATCTTTTTGGGTAAAACTTGGGAAACTCATTTTTATGCATTGGGCTTGATTCATTTAGCATGTATTAATGTAATTAAGTAATTTGTGATTAGATACGAGTGAATTGAAGGTGGAATCGCGGGGTAAAGCTATACTTGAGGCTTAAGTTGTGAGCAAGGCATTGAGGTAAGTGTTTGGTTTAACCCTAGCTTGAGGGACTAGGAGTTAAGTCTTATTTGCTAATTGCTTCTTGTTGAGTACGACGTATAGGCATGGTGACGAGTATCTATACGTTGGTGTCTAGCATGACTGTGAGTCTTTAAATTGTGAATATCTTGACTTCGCTGTATTTCTCTTGTCTTGGTGATGATTCCTATTTGTTGTGAAAAGCCTGTGAAAGGAAATTGTGACCTATGAACAATGAGGAGCATTCGCTCAAGTTATATTTCAATTGTGAACGTACATGAAATGGTTGAACCCTTTGGAGCATTGGCTCAAGTGGTAAAGTGAGATATGAAATAAATGTGAAAGGAAGAGGAAGAGTATTTAAATTGTTCCCTTGTCGGGATATTGTTGTTTATTGATTATTTTCCCTTGCCGGGATGTGAGATTATTGATGTTGTACCCTTGCCGGGATTAAATTGTTAAATTGTGTTCCCTTGCCGGGATTTCTTTTATTATTTTGTTTATTCCCTTGCCCCTTGTTTGAGATTGTTGTTTGGGTGAGGAAGAGTGTTAAAGCACGAAGGGTGATGCCGTGCATTGTTTGTTTATTGTGAGGAAAGAGTGTAAAGCACGAAGGGTGATGTCGTGCATTGTTTGCTTATTGGGAGGAAAGAGAGTAAAGCATGAAGGGTGATGCCGTGCCGCACGATGTACCATTTCGTGCCAATTATATCGATTATATGTGAGGAAAGAGAGTAAAATCACGAAGGGTGATGCCGTGCACACTTTATTATATCATTGCTTGGTGAGGATGAGAGTAAAAGCACGAAGGGTGATACCGTGCACTTGTTGCTTTCTGTTTCTCTATTAATGTCTGAGTTGTGTTATGTCCTTTGTTACTGTATGGCTTTTACTTGAAATTGTTATTTCCCCCATAGCATGCTCCCCCTCCCATATTGATTACTTGTCTCTGTATTTCGATTCCGCTGTATATGTATATATAATTGCACAGGTTTATGTGGTAGTCCGGTCTAGCCTCGTCACTATTTCGTCGGGGTTAGGCTAGGCACTTACCATCATATGGGGTCGGTTGTGCTGATTCTACACTCTGTGCCCTTTTGCACAGATCCAGGTGTCGGAGCAGCTTCGGTGTGCAGCTGTAGTTAGGGAGCCGGCCTTCAGTCCACGAGACTCCGAGGTAGCCTTGCTGGCGTCCGCGGGCCCGGCATCTCTTCTTTCAGTTTTCATGTTCTGTTGACATTTGTATTCGAAACAGACTATGTCCTTTATTTCGAACTCTTATCTGTAGTAATCCTAGACAGTCCGTGTATTGTTGTGATACCAGATGCTGGGTAGAGACTTGTATTGACTTTTTAGACGCTGTTTCTATATTTAGTTCAGACTTCTGCTAAATTTTACTCTTCGTTGTCTTTTTATCTGCTTATTCATCAATAATTTAATTGCTTAATCATGTATTAAACAAGATAGGTTAATTTTTGCAAAGGTTCTTAGCTTGCCTAGCTACCACGAGTAGGTGCCATCACGACCTCGAGGGTGGAAAATCCGGGTCGTGACAAGTTGGTATCAGAGCTCTAGGTTACATAGGTCTCACAACTCACGGACAAGCTTAGTAGAGTCTGAGGGATCGGTACGGAGACGTCTGTATTTATCCCCCAGAGGCTACTGAGTTAGGAAAAATTTCACATTTGTTCTTCCTTATCGTGCGGTTTGGTTTCTCAACGCTAATTGAATTTCTACTTTGTTCTTTCGCAGATGGAGAGAACACGCGCTTCCTCATCTTCTGATCAGCAGTCCGAGCCCCAGGCAGCTCCCACTAGGGGCAGAGGGTGAGGCCGAGGCCGTGCTAGAGGCCGAGGTAGGGGCAGAGCTCAGCCCCGAGCAGCAGCACCAGTGGCGGAGCCTCAGGTTGACTTTGACGAGGAGGTTCCGGCCCAAGCCCCAGCAGTTTCGGTGGGCCCAGCTCAGGTCCCGGAGGGGTTTATTGCTACCCTAGTTCTTCAGGACGCTCTGGTCCGATTGGTGGGTCTCATGGAGAGTGTTACCCGAGCAGGTTTGCTTCCTGTAGCACCAGCCGTCTCTTAGGCTGGAGGAGGGGCCCAGACTCCTGCTACTCACACTTCGGAGCAGGGAGCTCCCCCGATTCAGACTCCAGCAGTTCAGCCAGTTGGAGCAGCTCAACCAGGTGTGGTAGCCCAGGCCGGTGATAGGGCAGCTATGTCTGCCGATGCTTTATGGAGGTTGGATAGGTTCACCAAGCTCTTCACTACTGCGGTGCATCTACCGAGGATCCTCAGGATTATTTGGACAGCTGCCACGAGGTTCTTCGGAACATGGGTATTGTTGAGACCAATGGGGTTGATTTTGCTACATTCCGATTGTCTGGATCCGCCAAGACTTGGTGGAGGGATTATTGTTTAGCTAGACCGGCAGAATCTCCAGCCTTGACCTGGGAGCAGTTCACGCATATATTCTTGGAGAAGTTTCTCCCTATTACACAGCGAGAGGCCTATCGGAGGCAGTTCGAGCGTCGCCATCAAGGATCTATGACAGTCACCCAGTACGAGACCAGGTTTACTGAGTTGGCTCGCCATGCTATTGTTATACTTCCCACTAAGAGTGAGACGGTTCATTGATGGACTCATTCAGCCTATTCGTCTCCAGATGGCTAGAGAGGCTGGGAGCGAGATATCCTTTTAGGAGGCGGCCAATGTGGCCCGGAGGATCGAGATGGTATTGTCATAGGGGGGTGGTCATAGGGCAGACAAGAGACCCCGTCAGTCAGGTCGATTCAGTGGTG